TTCGTTTTAATGATATATATACGATTAGCTTGTTTTCAAGATAGGTTTTTCGGCAGAAATTTCATATGTAATTACACAAGTTTGAGAATTTTTTATTAGCGAAACTTTTTTTNTTTATTTCGTGTTAAACTCGGTTGCCCCGCTACAAACCTAATGTTAGAAGTCAAATTAAAATTAATCAAATTCATCATAGCAACACAAAATGTTAATATATATATTAATTATTAGGAAGATATAAAAACTATAAATACGTTATCATAGAATTACATAAATTAACAAATAAAGGTAGTCGAAACAAAAACACGAAAATAAATTGCAAGTCCCATGCATCTCAACATTAGAAATCACATCACCTAAGGCTCTGAGTTGCGTACCACACTAATCTCACCACTAATGAAGTCTCGTGACAATGTATTTTGCAAGAATATCAACCATTAGTTTATATACATTAACATTCATCATTAACCAAGCATTTAATTAGATGATGAGGTAATTAATTAGGAAACAAGTTATTACAAAATTCTCAATTTCCAAACAAGTGTAGTGAGGTGACTTTTGCTACTTTGTACAATCACTCACAAAAGGGAACAACAGGTGTCAAAAACTCATTGCATTTGTCAATGTGACTCATTTAACGTACGTTTTCAACCTGACAATCTACCCCGTAGATGCATGTGCTGCTACAACACTCATCTCCACATACTATCCAAATATAGTACAAATATAGATATAAACGAAACGAGTAGATAAAAACAAAATGATCAGTTGCTCGTGAGTTTGACTCGATTTCTTCAATAAATGAATCGAGTATGAGTTTGTATAAGTAATGAGTCTAGTCGAGTTCAATTTGAGCACTCGAAAATAAGTTGTTTTTTTTTTTTTTTAAATATAACTTTTGAATGAAATTGGAGTAGAATGGGTGCGGTCCCACGCGTTGAAGTGCACCATGACAGAGAAAGCTCAGATAAACTTAAGTTAGATTCCACCCCAAAACTAATTGGTAAAAGGAAGAGTAGTCCACTAGTCTTATAATTGGGTCTATTTTCCATTTATAAATGATGTGTGACAACTCACAAGTGGTATTATATTTTAATATACCGAACTTAAGCTCGTTTATCGACTTGCTCAGTTAACGAACCGAAGTAGATTCGCCTCGAAAAAAGCTCCCGCATACGACCTCTAATATTAGGGTTTGAGTTCGGAGTTCGACTGATTTATACCTTTATATCCCTTAAAAATTAACATTTGAAAAAAAAAAGTGGCAAATTAGTGTCGAAATTGTGCCACACCATCACTACAAAAAGAAAATTATGAAATTCTAACAAAAATATATTATAATGAAATAATTTCAACGACAATTCCAATGTAATTATATCCGTTAGAACTTTTCAATTGATTCCAACAAAAATTTCAAAGAAATTATTATCCGTTGGAATGAGCGAATTCCCATTGACTTTGACGATACCAACAACAGATTTTCCAACTGTTGAAATATGTATGGCAACGAAATTCCAACAAAAAACACATATTCCAACAGAAATTCTTACGACAATAAATCGTTTAAAAATAGTTGTTGTAATTATCAAATTCCAACTAAAATTCCAATGAAACCACATCACAATGGAATTTTTTTGTTGTAATTTCCATTAAAATCATTCTAAGAGAAGATGACATTTTTTGTATCATCG